GGTTTATAATTTTTGATGGTTTCAGAGAGTTCTCTTAATTTTCTCTAGGATCACCTCATGACCATTTCTTGATTCGTTGGAGTAACTAATATATGTGTGTAAAGTAAATGTATAGGGCAAATCAAAAGTACCTATAAAAATATTATGTATTGAGAAGAAAAAGAAATAAATATATTAGTCGTTTTCATTTATTTCTTTATAAACCCACAAAATCTGGATATTTGGTCAAGAATATAATTTCTCAAATTTTAAAATATTTAAGGGAGATTAGATAGAATAACCTATTTTTTTTTAAAATAGTTAGAATAACTTTACTATTTTTTTATTGTTGAAATAACCTATTCTAGATTTTTTTTTTTTTTCATAATACCAAAATTGTTCTTCGCAGACTCTGCCGAAGTATTGGCAGATTCTACCGATGTATTGGCAGACTCTACTGATATCTGCCAATATCAAAAAATACGCAGACTCTGCCGAAATATTGGCAGACTTCGCCGAGGTATTGGCAAACTCTGCCGAATTATTGGCAGACTTTGCAGAAACATTGGTAGACTCTACCGATTTATTTGCAGACTCTGCCAATATTTAGAAATACGCAGATTCTGCCAATGTTTCGGCAGAGTCTGCCAATACCTCGACAGAGTCTGTCAAGGACAATTTTGGTATTATGAAAGAAAAAAATCCATAATAGATTATTTCAGCAATAAAAAAAATGGTAAGGTTATTCTAGTTATTTAAAAAAAAAAAGTTATTCTAGGTAAATTTTTCAATATTTAAACCTATCCTCTAAACCAATAGTTAGGAGAAACAAAATAATTGTGAAAAGAAAGATGGATTACATGCATAATCTTTCTTTTTTTTTGCTAAACTTTTTCAAATTAAAAACATGCATAATCTTTGTTTGGAATATTGATGAAATGTGATGTGTAGAAGTACTTGCAGCAGGGATGGTTGTGGGCCTTTGTCTTTTAGTGTGGTGTGGTTGCAACCAAATAATAGAGTGGAGGTTGTGAGTTTAAAACATGTGTAGGGTTTGTTTGTATATTATGAACCAATCTCTAAACATATGATATTCTTTATGGTTATCAATTTCTTTAAAGGCTTACATTAGAGTTACAAGTTCATGACTAACTCCAAGTTTTTTTAACTGCGATTTCAATCATATTTCATCGGTGATTTTTATTTTTTTTCCTCAAAAGCACCATATGATTAAGTTTCCGGTGATGGTATCTCCGCTATAGAGAGCCAATAGGTGAATGTTTAAAATTTACAAAAATGCATGACGTTAGACATGTTTCGTGAATTAGTATTCGGTTAAGACTGTTCAGTCCGTGATCATTGATTTAAGAAAAAAGAAGCTGCTAAAGTGTCGCATTCAGGTTCAACACATACCTTATCATTTAACAAAATACAAAATAGTCTCAATACATCATGTGATATTACGTTCGAATAACATATATCCTATATTGTCATTGAGCAGAAATATGAATCATATAAAGCATTTCAATATTATTAATTATTCTAACTATAATTTATTGGGACAATTACAAAAATACCACTTTTTGTGTGCACATTTGCAAGAATGCCACTTAGGGGTGCACATTTGCAAAAATGCCATTAATTATAGATTTATAAAGCCTATATCTTAAAATTCTAAACCCTAAAAAATGTTTTGACCCCTAAAACCCTCTAAACCCTCATAAGTAAACACTAATAGAACATAATGAACTCAAACATAAATGATATAAAAAAAATAATTTTGAAAATGTGGCATTTTTGTAAAGATTTCAAAAGTGTAGCATTTTTGTAAAGTGACACTTAAAAAGTGGCATTTTTTTAAATTTCTCTAATTTATTTGACTGAATTTTATTGACTAGTGATTTCTTACAAGAGATGTTTTATATTCTTCTCGTCACTTGTATATTTTAATAATAAAAACAACATCAAAATTATATCGTGGAAGATTCGGAAAATCTGTAGTGGCAAGTATAAATTATACGCAAGGTGAAGAAAATAAACAAATAAGAAGAAGAAAAAAACTACTAATAGAAGAGAAGTAGGTAATGGAGGTCACATGAAAGTTAGCTTAGAAAAGAAGGCAAGTAGGGAGAGAGATCGGGAAGATTTTACGTGAACATAAAGCAAAAGTAGAAATCGAGGAACACTATGCAATTTCATCTAAAAACATCTTTTCACGTTTCTCTATTAAATCAACGTTCTATATTTTCTCGTTACATAATAAAAACCATATAGCATTATAATATATTCGATGGTCACAGGCCCTAATTACCACGAGGAGCCAAGGATGGTCTTTAGCGACTCGTCAAGGTGACGGAGTTAACCAAAAATAAAAGAACAAATCCCCATGACTTATTTTTTCACTTCTCAATATTTTAACTAAAGAATTATGCTAATTTTCAGTAATTAATGGCCAAACAAGTTTTCACTTAAAATTATTACCATGTAAATGCATTGTATGGTACTTGAGTGGCATAATAATTGTTAGAAATAGTTGTAAGAAAATGACAATCATTTGCACACAAAAAAAGAAAAGAAAATGACAATCCTTGAAAATGGCAGTCATGGAAATAATAAGAAAGATATAAATGTAGTAGCTGTAGATCATATAGGTGAGAAGGAGGGATCATAAGAAGAACTTTATTGACCAAAAGTCACTCTTTCTTCCCATAAAATAATGACTGCATTTGCATTTGCACTTGCAGACAGCACCTACTCCTTGTTTTGAGCCTTTTCTTTTTCCAACTCCCAAGCAGTTTTAGCCTCTTCTTCCTTTCCCTCCTTTTGACCTATTCCCTTCTTCTTTTTTTGTTTGGTGATGTTCATAAATAGCACAGACCCATGTGTATTGCTGTTCTTACTGACAGTATTATGTAGTTAATAATTACATTAGATATCTACAAGCTAGAAAACGTAACACTGTTCAACAAGTTTTTGGTGGTTCAGTACTTTTAAAACTCATTTTGGAGTTGGATAACTAGAATCTTTCCACCTTCCACGGCCAA